TTATCTCTCACCTGGCCTCTTTCCCTAGCCTTCGACACGTCTTTAGGCATCCTCTCTTGTCTTTTTCTGAGTCATTCTTCTCACCATAGTCAGAGGGATCAATTGGAAATACATAACTGAATATGTCACCTATCATTCTCCCCACTGCACCCCACAGCCAACACAACATGTGCGTGCACACGTGCACACACATACACGTAAGCACACACTCATTTTAAAGCTTCAGTGGCGTTTTCTAAGATAAAGACAAAAATCCTCAAACTATGAGGTATTGGCAGGACCTGACCCCTGCCTACTTCTCACGCTTTATTATGCGACTTTCCTCTTTACTCTCTGCTCCACTCACATGGATTTTTGTTCTTTTCCTGGAAGCTACTAGATTCCTTGTCCTGCTGAAGGCCATTTGTATGTGTATTGCCTTTGCCCAGTTTACTCGTACTTACCTTCTAGGACTCTGTTGGAATGCCACATCCTCTTGAAATCCTTTTCTCACCCCTCTCCAGAACCCAGGTTAGCTAAAGTCTCCTGTTGTAAATTTTCTTGGCACCTCGTACTTTTCCTTTATAGCATAAGCTTAACGTTTTATATAGTTGTGTGCTTATTAGATTAACATTGGTCTTTTCTAGTAATTGTATTTATTTCAAAGCCAGAGGCTGTTCACACACGATCCGAAAAATGTCTTAGCATTTGTGCACGTTCAACATACATATATTGAATGAATGATAAGAAATTATATATTGTGTAATTGAAAAAGTACATTTNAAAACATACCAACTAAACTAAATAAGTACATGATGTTAACTGATATTAATGAGGTATGTACAGGGGAGCATAGAACCTAGCCATCTAAACTAGGCTGAATTTTGCTTATTCTTAATGAGGTTTGAGGGATCAAGACAGTGTCTTGAACAATGAAGAAGGCATACCAGATATAAATTTCAAAATTGCAAAATCTTATGTGATTTATGCTTACAGTTCTCTGCTGGATTTTATTTTGATGCCATTGACAAAAACTTCAAATGATATTTAAATTACATGTTATGTAACTTTCTTACAAGTTAAAAAAAAATCCTAAAGATTGCATTTATGTTCATCAAAGTATCTGATTCATCACAATTTAAGGAGTGCATACCAAAAGCATATGCATATAGTCAATTACAGTTAAATGCCACAGATATTGCAAGAATTTGGCCTGCACATATGTGAAGTAAAAAGTGTAGATTCAGGTGGTGCTAAGTAGAGGAAGGTAGAGCTGCAGTGGTAATGTGCAAGAGTTTCCCAGCTGCTGAAACTGTTATGTGATAGATTTTATAATGAAAGACAGCTGGAGATACAGCCTGATCACAAATGTTAGCCAATTTAATGAGAAAAAAGCAATAGAAATTGAAGACATCTGTGGTCAGAATTTGAGCCCTAAAGATTCAAAGAGGAAGTGAGCCCAAGCCCCTCCCTGAGACCTCTGACACGTCTTCTTACATGATGTGTTTTGCGGGTCCCTACAGGCGGTGACCCCCTTCACTCTTTTAAAGCTGCGTTTTGCTGATGCCGGTGAGGACAGTTTCCAGGTGGTTTAAATTCAAGGCAAAATTTGAAAACTGGGCCCAAACCATTTTTATCAATAGCACTAATGATGCCCTCCTTCTGTTCAGTTTCCTTTCTGTTCCCACAGCCCTTGAATTAATTTCAACCCCAGCCCTTAAAATGAAATCTTCCTTTTNGAGACCAAAAGCACATAGAAGAAATGATTCTTAGCCAATGATAAGGGCAACATAAAATCAAACACATCAAGAAATTTGCAGAACCTGATTGAAAAAAACTGTAATGCTTGACTGAAATGTAAAATAAAATTAGGGATAAAGCTGCCTTACTCTCACATAGGGAAGCTCAATATTTGAAAAATGTAATTCTTTTTCCTAAATTAATAGATAAATACAATTCCATTCAAAATCTATGTAGAATCTTGAAAATATGAAATATGACAGAACCATTCTAAAGTTTATTGGGATGAAAAATATGCAAAAAAAGTGATAATTCGTGCAAAACAGAAATGGTGAAAAAAGATGAGCCACTGGCCCTACTAGATATTAAAAAATAGTAAAAAGCTACTGGTCATGAGGAAAGAAGGGTATTTAGAAGTTAATCTATAGAGATACATATCTATATTAGAATTTAATATATGGTGAAATTAATTTCCATTTATTTAGTAAATTATATTAATTTGGTAGACATTTATCATTTGAAATCCTGCATATTTTCTTCCTTAGTTTTTATACCAAAACAATTGCCAAATGGACGGAATATTTAAGTTTTAAAAACCTTTTAATATATTAGCATAAATTATCAAGTAGTTTAACAATCTTGGAATGGTAATGAAAACAAATGTATAAAAAATAAAGTAGAATGCTGAAAAATCAGATCCTATAATATGTTTTAAATATATATTATAAAACTCTCAATAAGTATGCTTTTAAAGCATGTTTGAACTGAGAAAAATATTGTAATAACTATGACAGAAAAGGTTTAATACAGTTTACTTACAAAGAAAACAATAAAAAAACAAAAAATATGGAAAGTTCTACATAGATAATTCACAAAAGCCATAACATAAAGGTCAATAAACATGTGGAAGACATTTAACATCATTAGAAATAAAAAATGCAACAGAAACAATAAGATAGTAAATTCTATCAGAATTTGACAAATATTAAAATGTCTGATAGGATTAGGTATAAAAGAAGATGTAAGAAAACACTCATATACTTTTTATCTGTTTTTCCCACTGGATTGTGGAAAGTATAGTTAAAGTCATCTTCTCATATTGGTTTACTTAAGAGTTTCTGTATATTCAGAAGTTTGTAGTGGGGCCAAAAGTGAGCTAGTGTGTAGGAGAAAGAACAGTATACACTAGGGTAGCCTCCAGTGCCATCAATTTTAGCTGATGACAAGTAACTTAAAACACCATTTGTAAATGAATATAAATACATATATAAAATAGAGTAAAACTTAAAATTCACATGACAAAATGAT